CAGCCATTAATTGTTTATAGCTCTTCAGCTATGGAAGAAGCCTTGCATGAATTCTCCCATCCATGGCATCCCAATTGATGTTGTCATTTTCAGGTTTTGTTTAGGCAGCCACATTGTTGAGATTTCAGGTATGTAGTTTCCCTGTCATATTTAGAAAGCACTGTCTTCCTGAAGATGTCCTCATCCTCTGGCTCTTACAATATTTCTGCTCTCTTTCCTGGGGTTTCTTGCCCATTAGAGTTAGGAGTTGTGTTGTAGATGTTACAATTGAAACTAGACACCTCACTTCAGTTGTTCCCTGCATTTTGACCAATCATGTCTTCTTCTAATGGTCTTTATCTGCTGCCAAAAGAAGCTTCTTGAATGGAGGATGAAGGCTGCACTTATCTCTGTGTATAAGGTTAAATATTTAGAATGCATTAAAATTACACTATTTTATGGAAGTGGCACCTATAGGTTTCATTCAAGGAGCTGTAGTCTCAGCAGCTTTGAATAATTGGCTAGGCTCATAGTACCAAGTATTAATTTCTATTGAGCTGACCTGAAGTCCAATTAAATGGCTGTTGGTTAACTCTAGGATTTAAGTGACACTATTGCACCCTTGGGGATATCTTGTCATATTGGTCATTTCTATGATTCATAGGCTTTATAGCTGGGCTAGAATATTGATTGCTTTTCTCCCTTGACAGTTAGAATAGCACCTTTCAGTACTATGAGAGTCGTTCCTCAGGAAGAAGGCTTCCAGATCAGTTTTGCTAAATTTCTTCACATCCTGTATCCAAAGTATGCTTGGTAACTTTAGCAACAATATCTTACTTTCAATCTCAGGGAGACAACCAAGAACCCTGGAAAAAGCATATATTGTTTTGGGAGTCTCTTCTGAGCAACAACTCAAAAGGAGATTTCCCATGACCTTGTTGGATAGTTCATGGCTCTTGAGAGCACCATCACCCCAAGGTGCATAATTTTAATATATATATTTTTTAATTTGTGTGTACCTCAAAACATTTATGTATGGGATGTTTAATGAGCTCTATACTGTGATTGAAACTAGAAAGTAAAAAGAGGACCAGGAGAGATGTTTAACAATTGGATAAAAGAAAGGAACCATATCTTGACACTCCACATACATTATAATTGTTTAGTCATAAAAACATAAAAATTTGGCCTTCCCAGATATTGACCAAATGACTAGAGAAGAGGAAATTTTCATTCCTTTCAATTCAAAATGTAAAAGAACACAACCCCTTTAGAGAACAGATTGTCAGGGTATTTTTTTTGAAAAGTTAAATATATACCTATTATGTGATCTAGCTATTTCACTCCATGGTATTTATTCAAGGGAAATCAAACCATATGTCCACACACAGTCTATTACATTAATATTCATAATGATTTTATTTTTAAGAAGCTAAAAAACATAGAGAAAGTATTTATCAGCAGATGAATAGATATAATAGTATTCACCAATAAAAAAAAATATTGATACATGTTACAGGATAAATCCAAAATGAATACATTAAATGAAAACAGTAGTGCGAACATTATATACTGTGCAATGCTGTTAATATAAAATTCTAGAAAATACAAATAAATACATATTTATAGTAAACCAATACTAGATAAGAGGGAAAGTTGGTGAATGGAATGTACAGGATTGATGTTAAAGATAGAATATTTTGGACAGTGATGTATTCAAGTATCTATTTGTATACTTTAGATATGTACACCGTTTAATGTATCAATTTTATTTTTAGTGGATTTTCTGAAATAATTGTGGTCATTTGGAAATTTCATATTTGTGTTGAATTCAATGAGCCACTATTCCTGCATTTTAAATAGTGTACAGAGTTGCCACTCATTATAGAAATGATGACTAGAGAGATCAATACACGAGGTCCTAGAAATGCAATAGAAAGAGTTCCAATCCTTCCTGGAAACTTGGAGCTTAAAGTAGAAAAAAAATATGTTTCCTTTTGAATGATTGGCATCTCCGTGAATTATCTTCAGTGCAAGAAGTCAGGTAAAGAATTAACACCTGTTCCAGGAACCATACCAAATTCCAATGAGCTCATGGAAGTACTGTGTCATCTAAGCTACCAAATGCTCCCCTCCACCTTTTAGTTGAGAAGTAGGGTTCACTATTGGCAGGCTTGGGAATGAAGTCTGAATTCTGCCTCCTCCAGCTCCCAGTCAAGGGGCACATGCTTCCCTATAAGGAACAGGTCACCAGCATTTCTTATATAGGCTGCAGAGAATACATTATAGTTGAAAGGAGCCTGGCAAGCCCCAGCCTCCTTTCATATGGTCCCTAGAGATCAGGCACATATTTTTATTCCAGGCATGAGGAAAAAATGAGCCCAGAATCCCCAAAGAACTTTCCCAAATATCTAAGGTGGAGGCTTCACAAAGCACACATACGCCAAGAAGACCAGAGGGCATCACTCTTTTGAAGTGCTCTGTTTGTAAAATAGAAATGCCACTCTGGAAGAAGTGTGCCAACAGATCACTACTCCAACACTGGACAAGTATCTCAAGATTTGGTTCAGGAAGAAAGATCTGTCATACAGAATACAACTCTAAAGTTTTCCTGCAGAAGTATTTTCATGTGGAACAAACTTCAGTGATGCATAAGATGTTTTTTAAAAACTACGAAATTTTTATGGTAATCAATCTAGAGGATGCTGGTCACTCTGAGAGAGCCACAACTAAACTGCAAGGGAATCAGTTTACTACAGAGAATCAAAGAGAGACATAGTAAAGAGTCTCCCTGCCAGGGTCAGAACAAAACCTAAACACTGACTGCATCAAAGTGTTCCTTTGAAAGGGCCCAGATTTAATAGAATCAGACAGTGGAACATTGTATGCCCCAGGACAGCATTAAAAACAATAGAGCAATCAGCTAGAGAGTAGCAGAGACTAACAGCTGGGTGTAGACAGCAGAGGCAGACAGCTTAATGAAGACATCAATGAAAGAGACAGAGTACTGGCCAAACCACTGTCAACCCAGTTTGACTGCAAATATGTCTGAAGAGCACCCTTTGAAAACTGATACTGGCCTCTTCCCACTGCAGAAGTTGACAGTATTGATGTAATACAGGCAAGTCATTACATTTAAGTTGGGAGAGGGATGGGAAGGTAGGACAGATGAGGTGGTGAGCTGACAGATAACTGACATTAAGGCTGTTTGCAAAGCTGTATGGTCAATGGACATACCACTGTGAATATACCTGATCCTATCTGATCTCAGAAGTTAATCAGCATCCAGCCTAGTTAGTACCTAAGTGAGAAAATACATATGGAAAGCTACTATTTTAAAGCTTTCTAAACCTGTGTGTGTTTGTATATGTGAGCATGTTCAATTGGAGTTACCCTTCACAGGGGACTATGTTCCTTTTACATAGGTTTCCCAATAAAAGCCCTAGTGCCAGGTGTGTGATATCCTTGAGTTGTTGCTCAGGAGTCTCCCAGAGACTTTCAAAACTGCAGGATATTGCCATTTTCTTAATTTCCAAATACTATCTAATACTAAGGCCTTATTGCTGAAGACATCATACACATTGGTCAAAGGGAATGGAGAAATAAAGTTGGTACTGACCATGAAGATTCCTCACTCCTGGCTAGTTTTCATAGTACTAGAAAGTTCTATAGAGGCTTCTAGGCAAAAAAAATCTCATCAACAGTGTTACTCATCTCTGAACCCTATGAACTACAATAATGACTGACACGACACAGTGAGGTGTGGTGTAATAGTGGCATACTTGTTATGAGGGTAGCTAATGGCTTCCTTATTGAATTTCAGGCCCACTACAAGAGAAGGATGTACATGGCATATTTGGGATGATAAACCTGGCCAAGAACTCTTAACTGGGAAGCACACATGACCCAGAAGTCAAACTACTAACATTATTTTGCTACGTGGACATAGTACCATGTAAATTTGTGTCTTTCCACCCATAGATCAGTGCCGTTCTCAGATCTCATTGAACAATGTCTCTTTGAGCATTTGGATTATGGTTAATGTAGAAGCTTACAATTGGCCAAACTATAGAGCATAAGTGGACATCATAATTGGGACATCTATGTCACCCCTTTCAAGGCACTGGGACTGTGGCCGAAGAAGGATCAGGATCAGATGACTCAGATGACTGTAAGAGCCAGAAATCAGGGATAACTGTAATGTAATAGTGTTTTCTTAACATGGTAGGAGTGCTACGCTTATGAACTCACAGCTAGCGGGACTGCCTATAAAAGATCAAGGCACTTAATAGGCTAGTGTGGAATGGGAGGGGCTCAGTAGCTTGCAGTCATTAGCTTCTTAGGAAAGAGGTAGTCAGTTTTCATTAGGCATGGGCCTCCCTGTACATCAACATGCTCCAGTAGATGGTCCCATACCCAGGAGTATGGAGGAAACACAAATTAGACTTAATGATTTATTAAAGAAGAGAATATAATTTGGGTGATAAAGGGTGGTGGTGCCATCTGGGAGGAGTTACAGAGAATAATTTGGAGTGACTATCATCAAAATACATGATATGAAATTCTCAAAGAATTAATAAAAATCGTATATTAAAAAATCCCTAAGCCAAAGTTGCTACAATGTATTATCTACAATGGGCAAATTTAAGAAACAGAAAGGCAGATAGAGAAAGAAGGGAGGGAATATCCCAAGTAAGGCAGAAAATAAAGTTGGAGAATAGAAGCCGTTATATTTAAATAAAATTTTAAATAGCCACTATACAAAGTAAAGTAATAACTGAAATGCACATGTGAAAGAGTTTGTGTCTTAATCTCCCGGTGAGCCTGTGTTGAAGGCTTACTCTTCACACTAGGGCACATTTTGGAGGTGTTAGAACTATTAAAAAACAGATACTTGGTCATTGAGGGTATGCTCTTGAAGAAGATAATAGACACCACATCTCATTCCTTTGTTTGTTTACCACATACCCCTGGGTAGCAACTTTACTTTGTTTCTTGACTGTGATCCTTACCTCACACAGGTTAAAAAAATGAACTGACATGAATTGAAACCTTGAGCTAAAGAATAGAAAGGTAAGAATTAATGTCTACAGATTCCCCACGTTCAACAAAATTATTTCACATGTTCCAAAAGTTAATTAAATAAGTGTGAATAATCAAAGTCAAATGAAAAATCCACACACAGACAGTTTAGAAAAAGTATTGAAAGGCAATGAGAAAAATATTGAAGGCAGTAAGAGAAAATTTGTCAAGGCCAAAGGAAGTGTGATAAAGGTAACAGATTTCTTATATGTCAAAGCAAAGGATAATGAGTGGAAGGCATAGTCAATATACTTAGTGGTTGAAAAAAATAAAATGGCCACAACAAAATATCCTGTAGAATGTTTCCTGACCAGCAATCTTTTACCCAACAAAATCACTTTCATATTATCCCAGGTGAGGGAAAACTAAAAAGAAAATATTTGCATCAGACCCAAGTGATAAAGAGTGCTGTAAGAAGTTCTAGCCAAAGAGTTAGTGACACCAGATGGTATTTGAATCTGTGCAAAAATGTCATGTCTATCAATAATAGCAATTATGTAATTATAAATGCATAATTGCATATTTCATCCCTTTCTTGAATCATTAAAAAAGCAATTTAATGACTATAAATGCAAATACACAGTTGGCTTTGTTCTTTGTAACTACATTGCACACCCGTGGATCCAATCAATAGCAGGTTGAAAGTGTTTTTTTTTTTTAAGACTTTATTTTTAATTGTGTGAATAATGCATGGTGTGTGTGTGTGTGTGTGTGTGTGTGTGTGTGTGTGTGTGTGTGTCCATGGAGATCAGAAGATCCATCAGATCTTCTGGAGATAGAGTCTAATATAAAGAGCCTCACAGGAAGCAAAATATGGTCTCCTAAAAGTGTGGTATGAGCCTTTAACTGCTAAGTCTCATTTGAAGACCTGGAAAAAAAAAGTTTCTTATAGCATATTCACTGAATACATACAAAGTGTTCTTTTAATTATTCTCCAAACAGTTTCATATAGCAACCATTTATACAATGTGTACATTGCTAGGCACTTAAAGAATTGAAAAAGATACATCAAAGAATGTGCATAGATTATATGTAAAACCTGCATCATTTTCTACAGAGCTATTTGGACTTTTAAGGAGCTCAACTTTTCTGAGGGTTTTGGAATACAAATTCATGATGATACTGAGGGGAGACCACACATGAATTTTGGGCCTATAATATACAGAAGGATTTATATTTGGTAATAACAGAACAAAGGATGTGGGTGTGAACAAAACTCTATTGGAATGAATATAGGATAGCAGATGGGTACTAGAATCCATAGAAACAAATGAAGACAACCAGCAATGACAGGCTTAACATAATAAACATATATACATCCTTGCTTGCTTGTCTCTTTCATTCTTTAAAACAAAAGAGTTCATTGTGATAATTATAACCTTGTACAGTAGTGATAGTAATATATGGACATAATAGGACAATAAAAGCACAAAAGGGAGAAAAATGGAACATAGATAAGCAACATTCTTTCACTCTAGTAGATTATATATTTTTAAAGGTTTTAAAATACTAATTTAGTTTATAATTTAATCTTATTGGAATTAACTTTGAAGGAAGTGTTATACATTTTTAATTTGTATAAATAAATTATGCCCTTGGCTATTACTAAGGAATTACATATGAAAACAGAACTGCCTTCCAATCCACTCTTAGGTTGGAGAGCCCCATATCACACTTCTTCTCTTGTCCCTAAAGAAGAATGTTTTCACTTTGGATGATTTCACAATCTGTGGAGAGGTAATGTATGCCATGTTTTCTTTATTCCTTCTTATTTTTGCCCTGGATATTTATTTATTCTACCAACTGACTAGAGGAGAAGGAAGCTAAAGGAAATGCCTCCTGTCAGGGAAAAAGACAGTAGTTTTATTTTAAGCTAAAGCAGAATGTCTTGAAGTTGATTCCTAGAGGTGCTTTGGAGTCAAATTCGAGTAAGGAAATCAATAGATTCATGAAATCAAAAGAAAAGGTGAATTGATGATTCATGTAAAGATTATATAAATGTGATGTATTCTAAAATATCTCTCCAAAAGATTATGCAGTTTAAAGGTTTACTAATCATCTTTCATTTTAAATAAATTTACAGATGAAGCTGTATTTGAATTTTGAAGGGATTCGAAAATTATGGCAATACACTAAATTTGAAGCAATGTCTGAAGGAAGCTTTGTTCTTCAGGAAATACCACACCGTATTGATCATGCTACTCTTTAAGTATGAAAAGTATACAGGCTTTGTAACAGACTCAACTCATCATCTTATAGTTCATAACATTGAAACCAGAGATACCACTATGCTTTCTCTTGTCCCTAGACTTTTCAAGATGTCATTTGTATTTTCACCAGAATTTGTTACCAATGTTTGTACAATATTTTTGAAGTGCTCTACATTTCCCAACATTATTTCAATGTTGTTAATATTTAGAGGTTCTCTGCATGAAATAACAGCTGGTCTAAATATGGAGGTCAAACATTTCAGAACAGATTTAGCAGAAGGAAAGAAGGGAACTACAAACCCGAGGAGAGATTTTGTCCTTCCTTTCATATGAAAATATGAAAAAAATACATCTATCAGAATTTTCACTGTGAGAATTTATATTTCTATTGTAATTCATTAAGAGTTTTAGACTAATAACTCACTCGTCAAATAAGATGATGAGACTAAATGATTTTGAAGTAAATTTGTTCAATATGGTTGTTCTTTGGGTTTTCTTAATTTTAGAGGGTGAGAAATCTTTTGGATATTATTAATTTAAAATTAGCTGACAATTGCCATGCTCAAAACTGAGGCAGAAAGATTTTCAGAAAGTGTTTTCCTCTTGAGTTGTGTCATTAATAGCTTATTTCTAGGCCACGAATTGACTATAAATGATATTTCCAAGTGATCAAGTCTATTATAAAAAGTAACATTTGTAAGTATGAGGTACTCAACAGAAAACAAGATTTTTAAAAGCCAACTTACTTTTACTTCTGAAGACATTGGGTATTGGAGCAGTTTTTCTATCATTTCTAGCAGACAGGAGAATGACTTTCAATGACATGCATTTCCCTCATGTCCATAGATTGTAGTTGGAAGTGTAGCTGTCATTCAGTATCATGCAAAGAGCCTTGCATTTGGGGTTAGATGACCCCCTCAAAGAGGAAGATAATTATCAATCCAAAAATAGCTGCCAGTGATTTGTTGCTCTATTATTTGTGAACAGTCAAGGTGAGAAAGTTATTTACCACTGCAAGCAAATTTACTCATCTTTTCAAAGAGAGTTTTTGTTTATTACAGGGATTGTAGATTTATTAAGCAAACATGAGAAAAAAAATCTCTCAAGAGTGAAAGGCATTCCCAAAGAAGAATACATGTTTTCACCCAAAACTTGTACATAATGTTTTAACATTATTACTTAAGAACATAAAATAAAATTCCAGACATTCATCACAAAATTGTTGTATTAATTATAAAAATCTGAGAATATTAAATCAAATGATAGCTTATAACTTTTGACTGAGCAAAACAGTTCTAATTCCAGAGATGTTTCACTGTGGCATTGTAATATGACAATAGTAAAAGTTAATATTTGGGATATGCCTATTTAAATTCTGATCATAATTATAAATGCTTTACATACTTTAATTCACTCAGTTGTTACATTAGATATGCAAATTTTCTTACGATTACATGTGTTTACCTATAAACTACTGATTAATTTTACCCCAAATTTATATGATGGGGAAGTACTTCTGTGTATATTTATCTTATTGATTGTTAAATAAAATACTGTTTGGCCAATGAGACAGTAAGTAGACGGGACTAGGAGTCAAAGAGGATTCTGGGAAATGTAGTAGAGAAGTGTGATCCAGGCAGGAAGTGACATAGCAAGGAGACTCATATTTAAGCGAAGGAGAAACTGGAAGCGCCCCTTTTTTTCCCCTCCTGCTCCAGCAGCAAGATGTGATCCCAGCAAGGAGGGAACGCCAATAAGGTGTCCAATAAGATAAGTCTTATAAAATATATAGGTTTATGATAGTTAAGACTGAGTTAGAGCCTGCCCTGTCGGGCTGCTGAGAGGCATTGGAACAGCTTCCATATGCTTATGCCGCCCCCGCGCTCTTGGACATTGTACTCGGCACTTCTGAGATGATAAAGACAGACCAGATAAAGAAAAACTTCTAAAGGTTTACACTACATTTAAAAATATATGTGGGCTTGTGAGAGAAAAAGTAACAGGAGGAAATAGAGTAGCCGGTTGTGGTGGCATACACCGGTAGGATTTGCTGAAGGAAGCAGAGGCAGGCAGATTTCCACAGAGAAACCCTGTCTCAGAAAAAAAAAAAAAAAAAAGTGAAAATAAAGTAATAAAAAAAACACATAAAGATGAAAAATATACAGAAAATCTGGATACTATATGCCATATTGTTGTCTTTAAATTGTTTG